TTACATATTTTAAGACCACCGTTGTGCCTCATTCAGTTTAGCAGTGAAGCTCAACATTGTTTGGTCTAATTTCTTTATAAAATATAGAATTTTTTTAAATATTTATTTAACACATTTTCTTTACAATTTTGACTTCCAATGATTATGAAGACAATATTAAATATTTTAAATATATATATTTTTTTAATTATAAATACCTTATTTTAAGTGTATTCTTTTTTTGTTTTAGAAAAATTTAAAATATTTTATATATAGATATATATATTATTTATTATTATATTTTTTTTTACATATTTTAAGACAACCGTTGTGCCTCATTCAGTTTAGCAGTGAAGCTCAACATTGTTTGGTCTAATAATTTCTTTATAAAATATAGAATTAAAAAACATTTTTATTTAAATAACATTTTCTTTATATTTAAAATATATAGTCAAGGATTTTTTTTTCCTCCAGTCAGTGCGGATCAAATAATTGATCTTATCTTAATCTTGAGATTAATTAATTTTTTACGCAAAAAAATTATGAAATTGATCTGTTAACATGTTTTCAACCAGTTTAAATATTCAAGGTCATTACAAATGCTGATCCAGAGATGCAGGATAAGTTATAGACCGGCTGTGGCAGTGCTGGTTTATCGTTCCCCCTGCACAAATAAACCTGTTTCCTTCTATCCCTGTGTGTTTGCATCCCACGGCTCACAGGGACGCTTGGTCTCAGACACTTTTAGATTTCTCCTGTAAATATTGCAAATGAACTAAACTGTCCTCTTCTGGCCACAGAGCGACGTTCAGCTGATCAAACATGGAGACAAGGTGGGCGCCAGCGAGGCCACGCTGCTCAACATGCTGAACATCTCGCCCTTCTCTTACGGGCTGATCATCCAGCAGGTGTATGATAACGGCAGCGTCTACAGCCCCGAGGTGCTGGACATCACTGAAGACGCCCTGCACAAGAGGTTCCTGGAGGTCAGTTCAGTTAATGCTACTCGTGCTTGTGTTGGGATTAGACCTGAAAGAGAAATGACCGCTCAAGACGCTAATTATCAGATTTTTGGGGGCCCCAGGTGATGGTTGTATGTGTGAAGATGCAGGATAAGTTATAGACCGGCTGTGGCAGTGCTGGTTTATCGTTCCCCCTGCACAAATAAACCTGTTTCCTTCTATCCCTGTGTGTTTGCATCCCACGGCTCACAGGGACGCTTGGTCTCAGACACTTTTATTATTTTTTTTCAGTGTGTTTTAGTTACGTTTTAATTGTACTTCTTTTTCTTAATGATTTATTTTAATTATTATAATTTGTTTAACAGTTTTTTTTTGTTTAAATAGGAAATTAAAACTAAAATATAATGTTAGAGTTAAAATAAGTAACATAATTGTGTTAATATTTACTTGTGTATATAGAATTGTATTAAAAATACAATTTAATTTATATTTTAATATAGATATTAATTTTAGTTTAATTGATCATTTTAAACACTCTTTTTATTTTAATAAAACGGGGTAATTTGTTAATTAGACTTTAAATTCAATTTACTCTTACTCGAAAATCTAAATTATATACTTGTAGTATTTAATGTTTAAATAACTATATAATTTAAACTACTTTAAATAAAACATACATTTAAATCTTTTTATTTAATTTTTTTTACTTATTAAATTATTTTTTCCATTTTAGCTTTCCCCCCTTTCATATAAAGTGAAGTGTTTTGAATATTAAAAAAAAAATTGATGTAAAAATTGTTTAACTAAATATAATTTCATAAAAAATCAATGTTAAATTTTTTGTGGTTTTTTTACATTTTAATGTCATCCCCCTTTCAGGCTGTATAAAGTGTTTATTCCCTGACGTCTGTGTAACTTGTCCATCTCTTCTGTTCAGGGTGTGAGGAACATCGCCAGTGTGTGTCTGCAGATCGGCTACCCGACGCTCGCCTCCATCCCTCACTCCATCATCAACGGATACAAGAGGGTCCTGGCCGTCGCCGTGGAAACGGACTGCTCCTTCCCATTGGCTGAGAAGGTAAAGCTCAGATCTCACACAGAAGTGCTGCTGCTGCAGGTTAGGTTACGAAACGGCTGGTCCGTGGCATTCTGTTGATCAATCCTGCACTATTCCATGTCTGTCCACGTGTTAAAGGGGTCCTATTATCAGGGGTGCACATAAGTGGTCCGCAGGTCGACATGCGCAACCAAAATAAAAAATGCCTTGTGTAAATAAGTTCTGACAGCACATTTGCGTAGCGACATGATTGACCGCTGTTAATGCACAATCACCATTTTAGATCGTCAAACTACTGTATAAGATTTCTGTTCAAACTGAAAGCATAAATCTAGGCGATTCGCTGCGGTTTCTTCAAAGCACAATCCAAAGCTGTGACATGCATCGATGGCTAGCTCCAAACCCTGGCCTAATGGTTAGAGTTTGTTTCTGTACAATCGGGGTGTTTAAAATGGTTTCACTAAACAGGCCACAGAAATCACTTAAATTTGGCTGATGCTTTTATCCGAAGCAGTTCACGTGTTAAAGGGGTCCTATTATCAGGGGTGCACATAAGTGGTCCACAGGTCGACATGCGCGACCAAAATAAAAAATGCCCTGTGTAAATAAGTTCTGACAGCACATTTGCGTAGCGACATGATTGACCGCTGTTAATGCACAATCACCATTTTAGATCGTCAAACTACTGTATAAGATTTCTGTTCAAACTGAAAGCATAAATCTAGGCGATTCGCTGCGGTTTCTTCAAAGCACAATCCAAAGCTGTGACATGCATCGATGGCTAGCTCCAAACCCTGGCCTAATGGTTAGAGAGTCCAACTCATAACCCAAAGGTTGTGGGTTCGAGTCTCGTACCGGCAGGGATTGTAGGTGGGCCGGCAACCCGCCAAAATAAAAGCCTGCTGATTTTAAGTGCGAAAAAGATGAGAAAAAAAGGTAAATACTTTATTTTTTTTTATTTTTTTTTGTTTACTATAAAGTAGTTGCATTTGTATTTAATACTTCCCGTTAATTTTAAAATATAGTATCACACATTTAGTTTATTTTATTTAAAAAAAAGTGCAATATTATCATCAGTCTTTATTTTTTGAATAGTTCTATTTAATGCAATGTGAGGGCCACACCAAATCTCATATGAGGACCACGCTGAAAAACTTATGTGCACCCCTGCCTATTATGCCCTTTTACGAAGTCTTGATTTCGTTTTTTGGGTGTACAAGAGTAGCTATTCATGCAGCTTGACTGTTCCAAGAACGCTCTTTTTTTATTAAATTTGTTTTAGTAACTAATTTTACATTATTGCAGAGCCTCTCTTACTAGTCTCTCAAATGGCCGGTTTCGATGCAGCCCCTCCTTCTGAACCACAAAATGTGAGCTGATTGGTTAGCTGGCTCAGGGTGTCCAAGTATGACTATGCCTTCAGGTTCAGTATCTTTATCTTTGGGTTCGCTGTCAAAAATGCCAGTGTGAGCGCTAAGCGGACTGGGACCAAAGGTATAGCTTAATTTTTTTGGTGTGGACCAAGAGAACCGAACTACAAGTGTGAACGCACGCTAGTGGAATTTGAGCTCTGTAACCTTGCAGATCTTTATGCTCAAACAGCAACATCACGCACTAAAGCTGAAAAAGCATAATAGGAACCTGTTAAAGGTTATGTTTGCTTTGGATTTGTCATTGACATTTCTAAACTCTTAACGAAATACTTTGTGTCAGACATTTCTAAATGGCAATTTAACTGCTTAAAAGAAAAGAAAAATCTTGATTGTGAAATTAATCACCCTATGTTCTGTCTAAAGTGATAAAATGTTAATACTGGAACAAACTTTGAATTGACCAATTCCAAAGTTAGCTATGCTGCACCAAATCTTAGCAGTTTTATAATGAAAATTCTAAGAACAGTAAATTAATATTGTAATATTTAACAGCAATACAATATTTTAGTTATTAATAGCAGACTGCATCCTCTACTGTCACACAGATCACATTGTACAGAAAAAGTCATGATGATTTAGGCCTAATGAGACTGAAAAAAAACAACTTTTTGTATGTGATCAGTGTTGGAGCTGGGCTTTGCAGGAAAGTAATTCTCCAGTAAAAGGATTGGGCTCCCCTGACTGTAAAAGCATGATTGGTTCTGACTGTATGGTTTATAGCTAGAAAACCAAAAATCAAGCACATACAGTATTAGACAGTTCAACCTACTGATTACGAATGGCCAAAAAATGAACCAACTACTCAAGTAGTCGCATGTTGTATTGTGTCGAGTTTTTCTGCTTCTTTATCAGCAAGATTCAGTTTTTGCACTGGAAGAACAAGCTGATGTTCTCTGCAAAAGACTGGCATTTGTGCTGTTTGCTGAATGATATTAAATGACCAGGACAAAGCCTTGTTTTTAGAAAACAGTTTATTAATTCATTGGAACAGAAGCAAAGCAATACATATTTTAATCAGCAGAAATCCAGTTTGTGTTATGGTTGATGTGATTATTAATGATCGGCTCTTTATTGCTTATGAAGGTCAAACAATGAAGAAACGGAAGGCTAATAATAAACAAATAAAGTCCAAACATGACTATAATGCCACACATCCCGCATCACCTGAGAGAATCTGCCGTTTCACCAGAGCATGAATAATTTACAATAAGACCAAAATGCATTTAGAAAACAGACTGAATTTCAATTTCTTGACGACTTGTAATATTGTCGTATTTGTGCCTGGAATCATTTAGCCTCAGCGACTGCACGGATCTGCTCCAGCAGTTTCTCTCTGTTGTTTGAGATGTTTTTTCCAGCGACCCCCATAACTTCAGTGATCATCTCAGCGCTGTAAGGGCCTTTTAAGATGCCATATTTCTTCCTCCAATCACCAGGCTTACCTGATGGAACAGTAATACACATAAATCAGCAGGGTTTTTAGTAATTTCCAGGTCTGGCTAAGTGGAAAAAAGAAAACAGAGTAATATATATAAAATATAAAACAATTTCTAAAAAAGAAAGAAAAACAGAATGAATGGATCGGTAAATAAATAATATGGAGATCCATCGTTACAATGGCCATGCCTCTTTTCAAACGTAAAATTAGTATTTAAGTGTCTTTCTATTGAAGTATTATTTTATGTCCCATATTACGATAGACAAATAATATTGTCTCTTCATTTAACTGGACCTCAAGCATGTCTGACAACTTGACATGTTTTCTGAATTTAGGATATATAAAAATTAAGGTATTTTGGAGATCACAGATTTCTTTGGAAAATGAAGTCTTTAACTGATGTGCAAAAGGCCATGTTTAATTTAAATGCATTTCATTATAATAGTTCAGCGCTGTAAGGGCCTTTTAAGATGCCATATTTCTTCCTCCAATCACCAGGCTTACCTGATGGAACAGTAATACACATAAATCAGCAGGGTTTTTAGTAATTTCCAGGTCTGGCTAAGTGGAAAAAAGAAAACAGAGTAATATATATAAAATATAAAACAATTTCTAAAAAAGAAAGAAAAACAGAATGAATGGATCGGTAAATAAATAATATGGAGAGCCATCGTTACAATGGCCATGCCTCTTTTCAAACGTAAAATTAGTATTTAAGTGTCTTTCTATTGAAGTATTATTTTATGTCCCATATTACGATAGACAAATAATATTGTCTTCATTTAACTGGACCTCAAGCATGTCTGACAACTTGACATGTTTTCTGAATTTAGGATATATAAAAATTAAGGTATTTTGGAGATCACAGATTTCTTTGGAAAATGAAGTCTTTAACTGATGTGCAAAAGGCCATGTTTAATTTAAATGCATTTCATTATAATAGTTCTATATGGTTCGATCGGGGTGTGTGTGCACCCAAGTTGTGGGGGAGATTTGGGACCATCTTGCCAAATTTGGTTTCTAGGATTTACAGTTTTGGCTGGCCAGACACTTTTAGGACAGACAAAGAATAAGAAAATGTGTACAAATACAGTGTAAAAAAAAAATTTACGCAAAAGTTACGGAAAAAAAAAAAAACCCGGCAGCTGTGGTTGCAGGAATTTTACCGTAAAAATACGGTAGCAACATTTTAGGTTTTAACTTAAATTTACAGTTAAATACCGTAATTTCATTATCTGAAATAATGTTAACATACCAACCTACTGAATTACTGAAATCTGTTTTGTAGCTTTGTAAAACACTGATAACCACCAAATGCAGGAGGTGATGAGAAAGTCACATGATGAACCAAAGCCCATCACAAGCAGCTTTTAAATAATAACATATATAGAAGGTGCACAGCGTCATTCACACAAACACCATCACGGTAACACACATGAAACTGAAATAACGCAATAAACATTAATTTAACAACATTAGGTGTAACATACAACCCTAATATACAAAACTGATAAGAAAAAAATAAGAAGAAACAGTTATTTCAACAAAAAAACCCATCAAATTTGAAATGTAACGCAGGGAATTCTGGGAATGTGAATTTACGGTTATTCAGTCTTTTTCACTTCCAAAAATGGTATACTACCGTAAAATTACATGTAATGTCCAATACAGTTTTTCACCGTATATAGTAGGGGAACTTACCGTTAACCATTTAACAAGTTTTTACTGTAGCATTTTTACAGTCTTTTACCGTTAAATTCACGGTCATTTTTTACAGTGTACAATAGAGTTCAGGGAACGTCCGGCACCTTTGGTGCTTGGACCCCTAATAATGTGGCTTAGCAAATGGTGTGATATGGCTTAAGACATACTTTTTTTGGGCATTAAATAATGGCGCAGAAAAAGTCAACTTTACTTTAAGGGTCCGGACCAAGTACACGCATCCGTGCCGCACAATCAAACAAGCAAAAGATCAATGGAGCACGCAATCATTTAGATTAAACTGTTTAGTAATCGTTCAACACACCTCAACATGAATTCAAGCCGCATATTTCTATTACACAAAATTATTTGTCTTTCCCAAAAGCGAGTCTAATTTGAACTTCACTGAAAGAGCACGCGCCTCTGTCATTCAACAAATAAAGGGAGCACGCATTCATTTCATGTACAAAGCAAACCATGACTACAAGATCAAAAACTGATGTGTCAGAGGTGAATATATGCAGGTTATACGGTATTTTAGGCTTTTTCTCATTACCACACCTAGTCAGAATGTAACATGCATGTTAACAGTTTATCAGACATTAAATATGATCTGAAGAATCTACAGAGAATCTGGAAATCTGCAGCATTATTCAGGATGACTGGAAGATGTTAACTTGCCTCCACAGTTGACCACATTAAACAGAGGGATGTGAATCACAGTCGGAGCGTTTTGGCCTTCGAACACATAGAAGTCCTTTGGTTTCTTCCCTTCATCACTGGGAATGTTGACTTCAGGGAAAGGGATCTTTAGTTTCTTGCACGTTTTAGCAGCTTCTCTCACTGTCTGCAATGGAAAAATTGAGCGGTAGCACTTAATTAAAAGGCTTAGACAGACATTTTTGTTGAGACTGACGGTATTCACTTAAATCTACCCCTTTACTCTAGATTTCATCATGCACCAGGCAAGAAACCACCACTGAGATGAATGGGAAACCTGATGAATGGAGGCTCTATCCAGATATTACAGAACTCAAAATAAAATGTGGTGTTTCTGAAGTTCTGTATATTTTAGGTTATGGTGGCAACTATGAATGTCATCATTATTAAAACAAATTCCATTTGCGTTCCACAGAAGAAAGAAGAGTTTAGATATGGGATCAGAACAACATGAGGGTGAGTAAATGGTGATGGAATTTACATTTCTAGAGGATGTATTCTTTTCGATTAACTTTGAGACAATGTGTGCATTTTATAGAATTAAATACCGTAAAAGGATCTCCATCGCTGTAATCCAGAGCAATGATGAGGTCAATGTTTCGTTCTTTTCTCAGCACTGAGAAGTAGGGTGAGTTGATCAACAGTCCGGCGTCTATCAAATCTCTCGTCTCTTTTTGCAAAAGAGCAGCTGGCACGGATTCATCTACTCAACCATAGCTTGAAGTGAGTCGAGTTATTATTCACAATGAATTTCCAGTTACCAAACGGGTCTGTTCTCACCTGTCATGTTGTGGAGGAAGTTATAATTCCTGCCCCAGATCCTCTGAGCAATGCATCTACAAAGATCAATGAAACAAACACACTCTTCAAAATTAGTTTTCTAAAACTCTTCAGTTCAGTAAATGGTTCTTAGGTTTTATCAATAACTCCTGGCTGTATAGGGTTCTTAACTACATGGTTCTTTGCAGATTAAAAAGGTTTCATCACAGGATCTTCAGATTAGCGTATTTTACGTTTAGAAGAAAAAAAACATTTTAAATTTTTATGGAATCTTTTGTGTAAAGTTGCAAGCTCAGTTGCAGCTGATAAAATGTATTGTGTAGTACAGGAGAAACACCACGGATACACACCAGTCCATCACAGTGTCTCTAATATGATATAAGTGTCTCTTATATGATCACAGTGTCATATTAGAGACTGTGATGGACTGGCCATCTGTCCATGATGTTTCCCTGCCTCGCTGAGATAGGTAGATGGATCTATATTTCAACAAGACCAGATGAAACTTCTAAATTATCTAAGCTAACAGAGTGTGTTAAATATGTAAAAGATTGTATGACCAATCATTGTATGACCAACAAATCATGTAATAGGCCAAAAGCATTATTTAACACAATAAATAAGCTTACCAAACCTCCATCTCATGATACCTTAACTTCAGATCAATTTTGCTTTCCTTCATGAAGTATTTACTGGAAAAGACAGATGCCCTCCACCTGTGTTTCTCTAATGAGGCTACGAAGTTTAGCTTTAGGCCCAATCTCTCTGGTCAGTCCCTGTCAGACTTTTCTCAGACCAATCCATCTTCCGTTTCGGAGTTAATTTTGCAAGCTAATTCGTCAACCTGTCGTCTTGATCCTGTACCTACTCCTCTTCTAAAACTGTGCCACTCTGTCATCTCTGCACCTGTTTCTCATTTCATCAATGCATCTCTTACCTCTGTTCATCATTCCCTGTGCCAATTAAAACTGCTGCATTCACCCCAGTTCTCAAAAAACCCAACCTCAATCCCTCAGTTTTATCTAATTATCGTCTGATTTCAAATTTATCGTTCATTGCTAAATTATTGGAAAGTACTGTTGCCTCCCAGCTTCAGTCTTTTCTAGTTGAAAATAATCTCTTTAAACCTTTCAATCTGGCTTTCGTCCATTGCATAGCATTGAACTGCACTTGTAAAGGTACTGAATGATTTACTACTCTCTGGTGACTCTGGTTCTCTCGCTATACTTCTGCTACTTGACCTTAGCTCTGCCTTTGATACTGTTTCCCATAATTGACTTATTTCTCTGATGTGGGTGTTTCTGGTGCTGTTCTTTCCTGGTTTTCTTCTCTGACAGACAGTTCTACATCTCAGTGCAGGATTTTCGATCCTCTACTGTCCATCTGAAGCAAGGGGTCCCCCAGGGATCTGTCCTTGGCCCGCTATTATTCATTTTTTACATACTCCCCCTGCGTCAAATCTAGTACCGATATGGCTTTAATTACCATTTACATGCTGATGACATTCTACTCTTAGCTCTAGGCCCGCTCTATCCACTCAAATTGACACAATTTCTGCTTGCGTACATGAAATAAAAGATTGAATAACCTCTATTTTTTTTTAAACTAAGCATGGCTAAAACCAAGATCATTATTGTTGGAACCCTGCACTCATTAGCAGCATTCCTAATTACTTTTCTTGTGAGATAGCTGGTACTCCTATTAGATCATCTTGTAATGTTAAAAATCTAGGTGTTATTTTCGATTCATCTCTCTCTTTTCAAGCTCATATTAACTCTGTCACCAAATCCGCATTCTTTCAATTACGTTGCATTGCCAAGCTCCGCGGTTTCATTAGTATTAAAGATGCTGAAAGGTGCTATATAAATAAAACGTATTATTATTATTATAGCAGAATTTAATTTTGTTTGTAACATTTACAAGTCTTTTCTGTTTAACACTGTAAAGCTGCTTTGACACAATCTGTATTGTATAAAGTGCTATATAAATAAAGGTGACCTGACCTGGCTGTTTTTTTGTGCTTATCAGCAGTTTGGCCAAACTGCTTTTGGCCTCCAAAAAGGTCTGCAAAAAGAGGGGGACATATTACTATTGTTTACCTTTGTGAACATAAAATAGTAAAAATATTTATTTCTCTAACAAAGAAAAAATTAGATTTCATCGAAACTCATATTTCCATCACAGCCTTGTTTTCATTACATCAGTTCAAATGTTATCTACCCTTGAAGTGATGAACAAATGTGATGAATAACTTCTTTTGTCTGTCAGAAATAAACTTAAAAACAAAAATGAACCACCCCTGAGAAATATTCATTGCAGTAAGTGTGACAACTAGCCCCAGATATTCTCTATATAAATTCTAGCACACTTTAGGAAAAGTTTACCGGTCAGCTTTGTTCTGGAGGACTGCTCAAGGGCAGAAGGGTCAGCGTCCACAGGGTTCAAGAGCTCCTGGTAACATTCGTCTATAGACGACGGGGACAGGGAAATACATTGACAAATTAAACATAAGCACACTGCAAAATGTCTTGCTTATATACACCCACTACCAGTCAAAAGTTTTTGAACAGTAAGATCTGTAATGTTTTTTTAAGAAATCTCTTCTGCTCACCAAGCCTACATTTATTTGATCCAAAGTTCAGCAAAAACAGTAACATTTTTACCATTTAAAATAACTTTTCTATTTTAATATTTAATTTATTCCTGTGAATTCAAAGCGGAATCTTTAGCATCATTGCTCCAGTCACATGATCCTTCAGAAATCATTCTAATAATCTGATTTTGCTGCTCAAAAAACAAGCTTTTGAATGGAATAGTGTATAATGTTACAAAACAGCTTCTTGAGCAGCATATCAGCATTATACTGATTTCTGAAGATCATGTGACACTGAAGACTGGAGGAATGATGCTGAAAATACAGCTGCGCATCACAGGAATGCATTACATTTTAAAATGTATTCCTGTGTTTAGAAGTTTATTCCTGTGCGTTTCTTCTTGTGGATATATTAAAAGACGGATGGCGTGATAACCCATATAGCAAATGATTTCATCAGTGAATTTATAGTATAGCAAACATTATTATACATAATAGCATATGCAATTGTCTAAATAAATGTAATAAGTGACAATATTATTTTAAATCTTATAATATTAATTTAAAATATTTAAAATGCTGTCAGTGAAAGCTCATCAAGCATATTTCCTATAGCATGGCAGTTAAAATATATCACACTGAACTTGATTGGTGTTCATTGATTTGAATGAGCTACAGTACCTAGCTACAATCTTTCACTATTAATTGGCAACATAATAGCATACCTTGTCAGAATGTAACATACATGTTAACAGTTTATCAGATGTTAGATATGGTCTGAAGAATCTACAGAGAAGTTTGAATCTGGAATTTGGAAATGGAAAATGTGTAGGAACCCTGAATCAGATGTATTCAGGACAGCTGGAAGATCTGAACTTGCCTCCACAGTTGACCACATTAAACAGAGGGATGTGAATCACGGTTGGAGCGTTTTGGCCTTTGAACACATAGAAGTCCTTCGGTTTCTTCAAGTCTTCACTGGGAATGTTGACTTCAGGGAAAGGGATGTTTTGTTTCCTGCATGTCTCAGCGGTTTGCAATACTGTCTGCAGTGGAAAAGCATAGCAGTAGCACTTTACTGAAAGGCTTAGACAGATATTTCAGTTGAAATTGAAGTTATTCACTTAAATCTACTCCTGTGTAGCCTATGCTTCCATCAGGCACTAGTCGAGAAACAGCCACTGAGATGAATGGGAATCCCGATGGTTATTACAAAACTCATGAAGATATATGCCACATAGAGATGTTTAAACCATCTGTTTAAATGGTTTTCTTTCTTGTTTTTATCTGGTCAGGTGATACACAACATTCGTAATTATCCCTCGGTGTTTTTGAGGTTCTGTATATTTTAGGTTATGGTCTACGGTCAATGCATGAGGAAAAAAAGAAACAGTTTTTTTTTTAATGCATTTGTGTTCCACAGAAGAAAGTGAGATTTTAGATGGGTTCAGATCAATGAGTGAAGTTGAGTAAAAGTGAGGGGAAGTCTAGGGGATGCATTTCTTTAAACAAACTTTTATGAGAGAATGTGTGCATTATATAGTATTATTTAAGTATATAATACCATGAAAGGATCCCTTTCACTGAAATCCAGGGAAATGATGAGGTCAATGTCCCGTTCTTCTCTCAGCACTGAGAAGTAGGGTGAGTTCAGCAGCAGTCCGGCGTCTATATAGTCTCTCGTCTCACTTTCCAGAAGAGCGGCAGGCACTGCATCATCTAAGCGATCACAGTGTGAAATGAGTCCCTTTATTATTCTCAATGAATTGCCAGTTAATGAACGGGTCTGTTCTCACCTGTCATGTTGTGGAGGAAGTTATAATGCCTGCCCCAGATCCACTGAGCAATGCATTTACAAATGCTCCTAAAAAGATCTGTGAAACAAATACACTCTTCAAAATGAATTTTCTAAAGTTCTTCAGTTCTTCAGCTCAGTAAATGGTTCTTAGGGTCTTGTCAATAACTATTTTGGCTGAGTAGGGTTCTTTGACTACATGGTGCTTTGCAGATTAAAAAGGTTTTATCACAGGATCTTCAGATCAGTGTGTTTTAGCGTAGAGAATAAACATGTTTGTGGAAAGTTGCGATCTCAGCTGCTAAAAATGATGCTGAGATCAGCATCTAGCATCCCCGCGAACCTTCATGGGACAAACGTTGTGGAAAACGGATGGATGAATGGATGTTAGAGAGGGTTTAACCTACCAAATGGCCAGAAATTGAGCTTGAGCTCAAAATAGTTGCATACATCCACGGTGTACTGCATCACGTATTGTTTTGCTGCTTTTTTACCAGCAGCTTTATCATCGTTCAGTTTTTCTAATTGATGAATCAGCTGCCTTTGGCCTCCAGAGAAGTCTGTAAAAAGAGGGGGATATGTGCACATGTGTCATTAGTCATTTGTTCCTATTCTAGTTTGTGCATCTACAAGCTTCATTTACATTTAGTCAAAAAAACAAAACATATCATTGTTTTGTTTTGAATGATATGGCACATTACCCCATCCATTTTTGCACTTTCAGGATTAGATTTTCAGAATTATTTTACTATTTAAATTGAGCAAAAAAACCATTAAATAGACTATAGTACATTTTACATTTAAATTTACATCATTTAGCAGATGCTTTCCAAAGAGATTTACACACGAAAAATGTTAAACACAGATATGATGTGAAATATGTCTATTTTTATTTTAGACAGTATTTCATACAGCAAAAAATAAAAAAATAAAAATCTTCTCAAATCAGTGTCAATAAATAGCAGGTTCCCTCTGTGACAACTTGCCCCACTACGGATAGTAGATAATCTGATGTGAAAACAAGTCTGTGAAAGACAGCCATAATGTACAATGAGGTGTATTGTTTATCTTTGTGAACATCATTCAACTGATAAAACATTGAAAATATGTCTTTCACTAAACAAATGACTCCAGACATCTTTCCCTCACAGCCTTGTTTTCATTGCTTCAGTTCAAATATGATATCTAACCTTGCAGTGATGAACAAACCTAATGAATAACTTTTATTTGTCTGTCAGAAATAAACTGAACCACCCCTGAGAAATATTCACTGCAATATGTGACAACTAGCCCCTTCTCTATATCTCTATATAAATTCTAGCACACTTTAGGAAAAGTTTACCGGTCAGCTTTGTTCTGGAGGACTGCTCAAGGGTCAGCGTCTCAGCGTCCACAGGGTTCAAGAGCTCCTGGTAACATTCGTCTATAGACGACGGGGACAGGGAAATACATTGACAAATTAAACATAAGCACACTGCAAAATGTCTTGCTTATATACACCCACTACCAGTCAAAAGTTTTTGAACAGTAAGATCTGTAATGTTTTTTTAAGAAATCTCTTCTGCTCACCAAGCCTACATTTATTTGATCCAAAGTTCAGCAAAAACAGTAACATTTTTACCATTTAAAATAACTTTTCTATTTTAATATTTAATTTATTCCTGTGAATTCAAAGCGGAATCTTTAGCATCATTGCTCCAGTCACATGATCCTTCAGAAATCATTCTAATAATCTGATTTTGCTGCTCAAAAAACAAGCTTTTGAATGGAATAGTTTATAATGTTACAAAACAGCTTCTTGAGCAGCAGATCAGCATATTATACTGATTTCTGAAGATCATGTGACACTGAAGACTGGAGGAATGATGCTGAAAATACAGCTGCGCATCACAGGAATGCATTACATTTTAAAATGTATTCCTGTGTTTAGAAGTTTATTCCTGTGCGTTTCTTCTTGTGGATATATTAAAAGACTTTGTGGATTCTCCTTCTTCATCAAACATGCTTAGCACTACCGGTGACAGATGCATGTTGATGGAAAATAGCATTTTTAATCAGTACTTACAAACATTTTTCAAGTATTTTGACATGCTGGTGTTTTGGTGTTAAATCTAACACCTCCCCTTATTTTCAACCAACTGCTTCTTTTTCATTGTTCGTCTTCTATTGCATGACGAACTATTATTATTACAATATACATAGAATTGTAATAGGGGAAAGACGTTTAGTAGATTTGAGCCACCTGGTTTTTAATTAACTCCATGTAACATGTATTGCATTTTTTTGTGCTTCCGTGAATTGCATTAATGCATTGTATAAAAGAATTCAAGTCGTTCATTCCTTTTGAAAGAGTTTGTCAAGAAACCTTGTAAGTTCTTCACTGACCTTCACCGACAGGCTCCTGAGTGGTTCTCGAGGCGTTTCCTCCGGATTGATCTTTTCATTTTTACAGTGAATAGCAGGTGTTTCCCCACAACCAGAAGCAATCATACAAAACAATATTACATCAGCGCTGTTAGCAAGTGCTACAGGTTTATCCATGGGATGTTAACAGTTTTGAAGAGGCATTTTTAATACATAGTCAAATCAAAAATTATTCAGACACTAGATATAATTTTTGATATTTTTTTTACTAGTGGGTGCAGGACACTATAGTTCATTTATGTAAGTGAGAATAGCAAAATAAAGTAAACTGTGACATATTATACCCAAACATTCTTCATACAGTGGACTACCAGAAAACTGATTTTTAAAAAAATGTGGCACCAAAAATTTGATTTGACCTGAGCATGTTTTGTTACATACCTTTCTAATCAACTTATCTGACATTATCAAGATGAATTTGTTCGAACAAAGTTTAACTCTTAAGCTCTTTATTACAATTTTCTAAACCATAGCAAATAAACTGTGATAATGTGAGAAACGTTGAAGGTGTCTGAATTAATTTTGGTTTTACTGTATTTTTAGATTAATCTGACACTTAATTTTTCAGCTTGTGGCTTGAACATTTGCTTGGCCACAAATGAAAGATCAACAGATATTTGAATACATGGAACTAATTGATAAATAAACATAATAAAATTCTATACCTTGCTCCATTTTGTCGAATACCGATTTTATTTCAGGTACTGAAATAGCTGAAAAACAAAATCAAATGAAAACGAAATGACTTTTAAGCAGAATTAAATCTTCAAGTTTTACAATTCAAGTTGTACCTTTTATCCATTTCCAGGTCGCCTCTCCATCAGCTAAAGCACTGCTGCACATAGCTGCAGAAAACACAAGATGAAACAAACACAACCTTTCAAATAAATGAAACTAATTTTGTCCCTCAGCTTCCTGAACAGAGCTCGTGGCAGAGATGTGTCTGTACTGAAGTATTCATTTCTGTGTGTCATAATGAAACCGAGTGCGCAAACGTGAACATATTACTCCGGTTTTAATGATTTTCAGTCTTTCCCTCATCTCTGAGATCCCTGTCCTCTGTGCATGAGTTTAAAATCAAAGTTAAAGTTTTATCTTCTTGCCTAGGCATTTAACAAATCTTAATTATGTTTTTATTTCATTATGTGTTCCTGCTTTCTCTCTCTCGCTTTATCTTATACTCTGTAAAGCACAGTGGTCAGCTCCTGCTGTTTATTTGTGCTATGAATAAATGAAATTAAGTGAGTTTCTACAATGTCAATGCAAAATAAAGTTAAGCTGAAAAATGTTTCCAATCATTCCCTTGGCTACATTTCAGTTTTTACTTGACAATTAGCAAGATGTCACAGAGAATATGAATGTATTTTGTTCTATTATCCAATTTAGGTCAGTTTAATGTACAGCGTACAATATACACTGAAAGTTGGTATTACAAATAATAAATAAAGCAGTTGTTATATATTCCCTGTGTTGGTGTTTGGACTTTTGTTGAAGTGTCGCGCTGTTCCCACGGTGTCTGTTAGTTACCCTTGTGAGTTAGCCGCTGTGGATATATGTGCTGCATTCATGCCCTGTCATAATCATTTTACTTGGAGCTGTTTGCACCCTTGGACTCGTGCTTTTGTGGATGTTTGTCTGTTTCTCTATTAAACTACTCTTCTTTGCCTGCTCTCTCTCTGCATGTTACAGCAGTCCTGCAACAGAGTTTGATACCTTGCAGGTACAGCATGTCTATTTCAGGCTGGTGTTTTTTCTTTGAGCCGTTGTCAAACTGGCTGCCGAAGTTGCAGGTCTCCACAAACGCTCCAGAGAGGGAATAACCAGCTTCATGACTCAATTCGATCTCTGTGTGTGTGTGTTGTTTGTCAGGGTTCGTACCAGGTGGATCCAGAGACTCCGCTCAGATAAAGGATGCAGTCCAGAAGACCCGCTTTATCAAGCTGAACCAGGCATTCCAGCAAACCCACCATGGCTCTTTGTCCTCCTCCAGAACCCAGTAATGCAATGTTTGGCACTTTATCCTGAAACACACACACCACTTAAAACATAAACCTAAAGAAATAGGAAATAGAGAGTGAAACTCCCGTTTAAGATCTCAATAGTATAGTAAAATTCCATTAAGTTTTATTGAGCAATCCTTATATACTATTCACATTATGAAGAATTTAAAATGAATAACTACATCCTAGCAATGCATTTTTTATATATATAAATCTTAATAACTGGGAATGCACTATTTCAGATTTGTTCATAAATGTAAAAAAAAATGTGACTCAGTGTTTTCAATCACCGTTCCCATAGCATGAAGTAAACTTGAAGTTGATAGAAGTACACTGAGAGACACTATTAAGTACATTCAATTCAATATTTATCGGTGTCTTTTGTAATTTTGTTATATTTAAACCTAACAACTTGAGTCATTGTGCCACATGTGCTCTATTATGTGGTGACATGTAAGGGAGAATTATTTGTTGGTCATATCCATATAGCCACATAGATATATGAAGTATATCGTAAGATGTTTTACCTGACTGCAGTGTATATTCAACTTCTGCAGGCATTGCAGAACTGTGTTTTTCCTTCTGGCTACAAACTCTTCCTCCTCCTTATTCAGAGAGTGTCCGAATCTCACCTCACTGCTGCAGCAGAGACACAGACAGACAGACAGAGCAGTGCTGAATTTAACTCCACCTATTTGAAATAAATATTCTAGATCTGAATCCAATTTATTGTGCAATTTCAATAGTTTATTCTCTGAATTATCCAGTTTGTTATAGATGTTAATTGTGTAAATAATGCAGCACAGTTGTTAGTCCATCCTTCTAGGAATATGTGCAGAATCACCTTTCCTGGGGTTTGGATGCACTCATCTATAAAACAAAAGAGTTGACATAAAAGTAAATCTTCTGAAAATCATTTGATAAACTCATGAGTCTTTCTTGTCAGAAGACCTATATAACCACAACCGTTTTCACCATTGATAATAATCAGAAATGTTTCCTGAGCAACATATTAGAATGATTGATGATTGATCATGTGACAGTGACAACTATTAACAGACATCTTAGATCTTTGAGTTATCTCAACAAGTTAAATCCACTGGGATGTTATCCTAACAATACATTTTTAGTTGTGATAGCTAATTGCAACAATGACATTTTATTAAAAAAAAAAATTTTTTTATTGTAATAATATTTCACAATATTACGGTTTTGTCACTATTTTTGAGCAAAATAATGCAGCCCTGGTATTTCAATCATTAAATCCAGAGCTTGAGGTTCTTCCATCACTCAAATATCACAGCCATTCAGAAGCGCACTGCACTTTCCAACGTTTATAATCTAAAAGAATATTAAACCTTTTTAACATGATTAAAAGTACCTACTGAGTGGCTGATAGCCTACCATCTTTGTCATGGAAAACACTAGTTGGTTCGCATTGAGTTAGGACCTCCCATTCAGTTGGTCACTCCGAGTCACGTTGGTGACAGAAGTATTGATCTCGCCCTATTATCCTCGAGTGTAAACTAAACGAGCCAATGCACATTGGCATGCGATAATTGCATCCAGCTGCTGCTCGTCACAGCACAAGCATAAGTACGCAGCAGGTGCAACGCATATTTAGCTTTTCGCTTCGGAGCCAAGCGGTTCTAGCATTCTGCTCTGCCTGTCGTCTGAAGAGAAGTATTCTGAAGAGTCAGCAAGTGCTCTATGGGGAAGAGGCTTCTTCAGCACTGGTGTTGGGGTGATGGCGCTTCAGCAGTTCTGAAAGAGCAAAATTCCCTAAAAGAGCAAGACACGGGTGTGACGTTGTGTCAGTATTTGAAAAATAATGTGTTTTTTGAACATTAAAGCATGTCAACATATTCTGTTACACCAAATACACAAAATAATGATCTTAAAAAAAGCATCATATGACCCCTTTAAACATGTCATTCCAGCTGTGTGTTTCTGGATGCAGTCATTACCTGGCACCGGATGACAGTCACGATCATTGCCTCACGTGTTTGGGCATTAAGCATGCTGAGGCTGCTTTCTTGGATGAGTCATGCTCTCACTGCCGGAGGATGATCATCTCGGCTTTGCGGTCGAGACTCCAATACCTTAGGAGAGGTGGAGTCCCCTTACCTATGCCCAGAAGAGGGCTACTTCGGTGAATAGACAGGCTTGAGGGTTACAGAGGGGGTAAACCCGCCGAGTGAATCTCAGTGGGTCCCTCATTCCTCTAGCACGCCTCAAGCTGTGGAGCTTCCCGGTGAACATGCGGGTTCTTCTAATGGGGGACTGGCCGTTTCATTCGGTGCTCCTCTGGATGACCAGATGTCGATTGCGGCATTAGAGGGTGAGCTGGAGTCTGGGGATGAGGACTCGGCTGCGTTGTACCCTTCGGGGAGAGTAGCGTTGTCTGAGCCTGACCCAGAATTAACGGCTATGCTTTCCTGGGCTGCCAAGGTGGTCGGGCTCGAGTGGAGAGAGCCACCGTGTCCTGAGTCATCGAGGTTAGATGATTGGTATCTTGGTTCTCAGCCTCCTGCCCCAGTGCCTTTCTTCCCGGAAGTGCATGAGGAGGTGACCAGGTCGTGGAAGGCACCTTTTTCTGCCCGAAACCGGTCTGGTGCCTCCTCCTCCCTCACTACCCTCAACGGTGGAGCAGCCAGGGGTTATGAGGCAATCCCCCCGGTTGAGTGCGCGGTTGCGATGCAATTGTGTCCAAGGAGCACTGCCACCTGAAGGGGTAACCCTCGTCTCTCATCCAGGGCCTGTAAGTTCTTGTCCGCGCTTACGGCCAAGGCTTGCGGTGCCGCTGGACAGGCTGCCTCCGCCCTGCACGCCATGGCACTCCTGCAGGTATATCAGGCCAAGGCACTAAAGGAGTTCCACGAGGGTAGTTCTGACCCAGGGCTGATGCAGGAGCTGTGCACAGCAACGGACCTTGCCTTACGAGCGACGAAAGTCACTGCGTGCTCCCTTGGTCAGACGATGGCCATGTTGGTGATCCAGGAACGCCATCTCTGGCTGAACCTGGTGGACATGCGGGAGATCGACAAATTCGTTTTCTCAACTCCCCTATCTCCCAGGCAGGCCTATTCGCCGATGCAGTCAAGAGCTTTGCCCAGCAGTTCTCGGCTGCCCAGAAACAGATGGAGACTGTCAAGCACATTCTGCCCCCAGCTGCAGGGGTGAGGAGCCGCCAAACCAGGCCCTCCAGGCCCCCCGCCAAACCAGGCGGCAAGCGTAAGAGCAAGCGGCCCTGAGAGCTGCGGGCTTGGCGACACCAAACACGTTTGTTAGGTTTTATAGCCTTCGTGTAGAGCCAGTGTCCTCTCATGTACTCGCCTCGAGTAGCCAGTAAAACCAGAGGAACTGCTCGGTGTCTCGCTTGCTGCGCCATTCCCTTCTACGGACCAGATACGTGCACTTATTCTGCTCTTCAGTTCAGTTCCCCACAAGGCGAACCCTGTGGAGTTCCTCATCACCCTTCTAAGCAACTTTCTAAGGTATAGTTCGGGGAACACGCCTAGAAAAGGTATAACTATGGTTAAGATGCGTATACCTTGAGAGTCTTCATATTACACAAAGAGACAATGTTATTGAGAAACACACCCCAAGGCAGCAATTCACGTGTCTTGTGTGTCAACATACCCCACAGAAGAGAAGTGTGGGGTGAGCAGTAGCTCATTGGCATTTAAAGAGACATACACCAAAATGGCTCTCCATGAACAGAGCTGTTTTTGTCTATGGAAAAAGATAATTGTTTTACACAACAATTGAGACATTTTATCCGAAGTATGTTACAGACATTTCATGAAGACCCTAAAGAATCATACCAACTTGTGGAAGATCCGATGTCGCTTTTAAAAGTTAAAAGCTTAAACATAAGATGATCTGAAATCTATTGCAATTCATTTTTAATTTTATTTTACACTATAATTGAGATTACTTTCAAATATAACATTAGATAATGGAAACATTTGTCACACTGAAATATGAATCCCTCAAATAATTTTTCACCATGATTGTTTATTTATGCAATTTTGGTCGTGTGCGGGTCATAGATATTTTAAAGCTTATTACTGACAAAAGTTGGATTCATTCATGCTACTGTTGTCACCTGCCAAGCATAATGACATTAAAATGTTAACTGCTCTTCTATTGCTGAAAATACCTCATCTACATAAAGCTTTAAAACATATACTCACAGTTCCTGCGGATCCTGAGTCTTCAGCAACAGCACCAGCACAGATTTGTGTGTGGGTGTGTTGGGGAGGGAGGTGCTACACCTCACCTTTAATAAGTTTGAGTGACAGGCAACAGGTTGATCTGGATGAACTTGTTGATAGAACAATCTATTTACTGCATAAATACGGTGGCCGAGAGACCTCAACATGCTGCAAATAGAAAAAACACCTGCAAATTAAGGAAAACAACTTCATCAACTTGACAACACACGCGCTACAAATGCTCACAACACAACCAAATAAAGAAATGCACTGCAAATAAAAATCTTTATTTGGTTGTGTTGTGAGCATTTGCAGCACCTGCTGTCAAACTGATGAAGATGTTTGCTTGATTTGCTGGTGTTTTTTCTAGTTGCATGTGTTTTCTGAAGTTGCAGCGCGTTGAGCTCTCTCGGCCACCGTAGAGAAAGGCTTCATGCACATTAGCTTACCAAAGAGTAATACTATTCATGACAACATTAACATTTTAAGTGAACATCGTTACAGTAATACACTCAAAATGATCAAGATTGTGGATGAAAAAGATTTACATATTGCAAAATCATTACTTGTGATTACTTATTTTGATATATTGACATCCACGTTATTTTAAGCCCTAAACAGTGTCAGAAAGTATCTTTTCCATTGAGGGGGAGGACCAAACTGCTCATTAAATAAATAAATAATTATTTAAATAAATAATTGTTAATGAAACACAAAATTCTTTAATTATTAAATCACCAAACAAAATTAATAAATGCCTGTTTTTTTTTTTAGCATTCATTTGTATTAACTTGTCATTTATCATGTTTAAATTGATGTTTTATTCAAGCAGCTTGTGTCATTTCACTTTCATTGTTACAGATGTCGGGATGTCACTTTGTTTTTTAAAGACAAATTCTTGGACTTTCTATTTAGGGTTCTTTCTTTCTTTCTTTCTTTCTTTCTTT